AGTCATCCTCGCTATTTGTGCCTAACACGTCAGTCTCCAGGAGTCTTGGAGCATCTTTTAGCGAGTTGACAGGGATGCCTACACCGCCACATATGTATGCCCCAGGTCCTTCTACAGCAGCTCCCGTCGCCGTGACTACTTAGAGGCTCCCTTCTTCTGTCGCATCTTTAGATCCTACGACAGACATACCAGCAGCATCACAGGCAGCACCTGCCCTAGCTCAGACCCAGACCGCTTCAGCGACGCTTCCAGCCACAGAGGGTCAGTCAGTACAGAGCTCAGGGTTAGATGATGATGGCGCCCAGTTCATGCTTACTCCTCGTACTTCAGCGCCCGACTCGTCCACTGCAGCCCCGCCGACCGACCCTTAGGTTTTGGTGTTTGACGCCAAAGGGGGAGAGGGTTCGAGTATGTAGACTCAGGGGGAGCGACTTTTAGGGGGAGCCTAGTTAGCTATTAGTCTATTATATACATTTGGAGTCTTATTTGTGTGATACACTATTACTATTATGCATTCGTGTGTTTACCTTCATGCATTAAACTATATCTATGTGATAGTGATATCTACATGATTGTGATATATGACATGTGTGCTCTCTACTTCATAACTATTTATATGTCATATCACTTGTGCTATGCTCATTTGCCTTGCTTCCGCGTTTATACTCCGATGCAAATGAGCTTTATTACTTGTACTCATGCTTGTTTCATATCTTTTGAGTATATTTTGTTGGCTTGGGTCATATAAGCTTGCCTAACTCTTTTGTTCTTATTGACAAAAGCTTATATGATCCAAGCATGATAAAAACCTCAACTCTTTCACATACTCGAGGTGGTATTATCATCAATCACCAAAAAGTGGGAGATTGAAAGCATCTAGGCCCCTAGTTGGGTTTCGGTGATTAATGACAATACAAGATTACTATGACTAACGTGTGTTTTGCAGAGGCAATTAAGTTAGGTCATGGTAATGGAGATCGATTGGGCAATCATGGATGTCATGCCCCTACGATGGAAATCGTTTCGGTTTTCAAAGGATGGACGACAAGGTTAAGGATGACTAGTTCTAAGTGTCGATTGGAGTTGGAGAGACACTTAGAGTAGTTTAGGACTTTGTTTTTCCTTTGGCCGTACTATTAAGGGGGGTATGGACGGGTAGCTTCACCTAGGTGAGTCTAGTGAGTTAGGTGTGGTGCACACTTGCTAAGTCTAGCTCTAGGTAGCTCCAACAAAGCCCTTAGATCATATGGAGCAAACTTCATTCACATATGATCGAGAGTTGAAAGTGAATAGAGGGTCAAATACTAACCGGATGCTGGCTCCGATGCGACCGGACGCTGGCCGCAGGGTCCGGTCAGTTCATTTGACCAAAGTGATTGCGTCTGGCGCGATCGGACGCTGAGTGGTCGAGTGACCGAACGCTGAGGATCAATGTCCGGTCGACTCCAGTAAGGTTCCAGAGAAGGAATTCTGCGACCGGACACGTTCGGTCAGTACTGACCGGACCCTGGGGGTTGAGCGTCCGGTCGAGTACAATAAGGTTCCAGTGAGGGATATTTGCGACCGGACGCGTCCGGTCAGTGGTGATCAGACCCTGACAGCGTCTGGTCAACACTTAAACACTGGTGTGCGGGTTGAACTGACCGGAGCGTCCGATCAACATGACCGGAGCGTCCGGTCACCCCGCAGAAGCACATAACGGTTCGTTTTTCAGCCGGTGTTATAAATACACCTCCACTCATGTGTGGGGGTACTTTTGCTCATTTCAACAACTGAAACACACCTTAGAGAGTGCCAAGACGAGCAAGGTCCTAGTGAGGTGATTGAGATTTGAGAATCCCAAAAAGAGCCCTCATTAGTGAGATCAAGAGTAGCAAAGTGTGCATCCACCCTTCTCGCTAGGCTTGTCGTGGTCAAGTGAGAGTTCGTGCTTGTTACTCTTGGTGATCGCCATCACCTAGACGGCTTGGTGGTGATTGGAGAGCTTGGTGATCATCCGGAGAGCTTGTGGATGACCCAACTCAAGTTGTGAGCAGTTGTGGGTGATTCACCGCGACGAAGTGTCAAAGAATCAACCCATAGAGAGCACTTGATCCTTGCACGGATCAAGGGGGAGCTACACCCTTGCGCGGGTGCTCCAACGAGGACTAGTGGGCAGTGGCGACTCTCCGATACCTCGGCAAAACATCACCGCGTTCCTCCTTCTCTATTTACTTTGAGCATTTACTTTGAGTATTTCCTTTGAGCAATTACTTTGAGTATTTACATTGAGCAATTCAATTCTTGTCTTTACAATTCATAGAATTGCCATGCTAGAGTAGGATTGGAACTTAGGTTGTAAGTCATTTGTGTGGTAGAACAACTAGAAACACTTTTTAGGCACAAGGGGTTAATTGGGCTAACCGTAGGATTTAATTATTGCAAAGAAATTTAAAATTAGCCCAATTCACACCCCCCCCTCTTGGGCATCTTGATCCTTTCAGATGCCATGTGTCACCCCCAATTCCCGTCGGAACCGCACTCGGGTTTTGAGGCCAAAACTCGGAAACCGTCCTGCCAGTGGTTTTGAGGCCCAAACCGCTCGCGGATATGCTCGCCCCATGATCTCGACGCGTGTCACCATCGTCCTCGACCGCCCGATTGCCAAGTCCTCTAGTGCCTCCGCTTGACTAGCTTGACCGCCATCTTGACCCAGTCAACATGGTCCACTCCTCCATGTACACTTGCGCTCATTGGTGCTGCAGGTGTCAACCACCATGATCGGTCCTCTAGGTTCTCCGGACCCTTGGTCCAAGCCCGACGTCCGTTCTTCACCGCTCCAGTCCATCGCCATGAACCCGCATGACCTTCACCTTCGCCGTCAACTATCACCTCTGAACTCCACACCTGCACACCACAAACCAAGAGACATGTTTCACAACCCAACTCATGCCTTAGTTAGTTCAACAACTCAACCCAAGACGCTACTCTAATTGACAATCACTCATCACAACTCGAGCCACATAGGCACATATCAACCATGTGTTTGCAATCTCCCTCTATGAGTCCATTGTCAACACCAAACACAAAAAAAAAAGAAAAACAGAGAACTCGCTCAAATGACCAAAAGCCAGTGAAAAGCCAAAATGAGGTTATTTGAAATGAGCAAAGCTTGATCCCCAAAGACATGGGCAATGGCTCGACGCAACCAAGCAAAAATACCTAGTCCTCAAGAAGAGGCAGAAAGGGCTCAACACCACTAGCAAGAAATCAGAGCAACTTCGAAAACTCCTGAAACACTGCTAGTCCCTCCAGAAGAGGCAAAGCCTCAACACAACTAGCAAAAGCAACTCAAATATACAACTCTCCCAGGACAAATGCAAACTCTCACAAATGAATGCACTCTCAACAAGTTTTCCTCCTAGGGTGCTCTCCCCCTTAAGGTGGATTCTTTGTGTATATCTAATTCTTCTCCTTGTTGATACACGCACTCAGCAGCAAGCCTCCCAAAACTACAACTCCCCCTCAAAATATGTTTTGTATGCAAGGGATGCAGAAAATACAGGAGCTTCAGGGGTATAGCAACCAGAATGAAAAGATGCTCTAAGTGGTGTTGTCCTATGAGTAAAGCAATAGATCCGTGTGCTAGCAAATGCTCAAACTAATCTTATGATACAAAGTGTGATGTTTAAACATTTGGATCAGTTTTAAGCAGTTTTAAGGAATAAGTTCACCACTAAAGATAACACATAGCAGGTATAAGCAGGAAATCAGGTGAACTACCTTAAACAGTGGTCAATCAACACGCCAAAGACAACCGTAAGACTTGTGTATAGCTAGACACATAGGGGCAGTTCGGCTGGTACAAAAACCAGCCAGATTTCACTGTGTATGGCTGAAAAACATTGTTTACTCTCTCACAAATTCCTTCAAATTCCTCCGAGCGAACAGGTGCATAATCAAGTAGGGCAGGTGGCTACCTACGCAACTTCCATTCTAGTGCTAGGAGGATGGACACTGCGCAAAACATCGGTGGCAGGCAACGTTGTCCTTATGATCTCGTGCTGCAGCTGCCTCGGAGAAGTTCCGATTCTTTCGATCTCAGGATGATCTCTTGTCCACATGAACCTGATCTGGCGGATTTGTCCGAGGTTGGGCACCACCAGGCGCCAATCATCGGTGACGCCTAGTGACATCTCTTCTCTTACTTTCTGGGTCACAAAATATAACTCCACTTAGATTTGTAATGAATTTCATAATGTTAATCGTATGTATCAATCTATATAAAAATACTAGATACCGATGATCAAATTATGCAATAGCGCATATAGCTAGCTTTTTTATCATAATAATATTTTGATTTTTTTTTTACTTAAACTTTTTTTTGTAAGTAGTTTTGTTTCTTTGTTTGATCATATGGAATAGGTAATCTCTCGTTGTTTGTCTTCACACGATGCTCTTATTCCACTGACCCAAGGTATAACTTGGGTGGCATGGAGTTACTGCACCAATAGGACTGCCCATGGTCACCAAGATTGTGTGGCGCGCTGATCTCGCTCAACTCATGAAAGAGCTCGGGGGCGCGTTCTGCTTATTCACAAGTTCAGCATCCATGCTCACTCTGAAATCCATGAACACACTCTAGCACACTTCCTTACTCTGAAACCCGTGGATACATTACATTCTCAAAGCAAACATGGCATGCTCATATTACAAATGTAAGGCTGACAAGATTGATTGCCAACCACCAATCAGGGCTACGATAACTGATAACTCATTTGTGATAACAAACCAAAAAGGCAGACACAAACACAAGCGAACCGGAACAATGATCCAATATCTTTTCTCAACTCATGTCATGTCTACTTAAGAAGGGGCAAGCCAGCTACAACCTCTGTTGCCTACTAAGCCAGCCTTATTTTAAAATTGTACATGTATGCAAAAGCTATAACCCCCCAAAGTTTAAAAATTATGGTATATGCACATTGCACAACTACAGACAAAGAATGCCTGCTAGCAGCTCATTCTTCGTCTTCGGTTTCCTCGTCGTCGCTGCTAGCAGCTCTGTTGTAGTTCCATCTATCCTCGACATTGTTGCCTGCCTCTTCCTCGGTCTCCTCGCTGTCATCCTCGTACATCACTTTCCTCGGCCACTGCTGCTCCTCAGGGAGGTTCACAGCTGGCGACGGCGCTGCGTACCCTCCTTTGTGCTTGGGGATCTTGGCCGGTGGCATCCTAGTGGTGATGTCTGGCTTGCTCCTGTGGGAACTCTTTGAGATGCTGCGCTTTGAAGAGGCAGCGCCTTGTGGGCCACCATCCTGGTAGTGGTTGGGGTGTTCTTTTTTCAAATGGAGGTTCAGCTTGTACTCGTGGATGTATGCCTTGTCGCAACCATCGTAGGGGCAGACGTAAGGGCGCTCAGCTGAGGGAGCTGGAGGCGTTGCTGAGACCTTTGCTGGCTTAGGGGGCTGGTGTGGATCTCCAATTGCACTGTGGTTCATTGTGGACGCACCTGGATTCTGCAGGCCAACAGCCTATATTTGTCTCATTACAAAATTATTTCACAAGCAGAAATGCACACACAGTAACTGGTAAGAGATCTTACTTTCTCATGTTGTTGCCTGATATGAGCTCTTAATTTTGATTCTTGTGTAAATCTTCGGCCACATTCTGGGTACTGGCACACATGATAGTTATCCGCAGAATGTGTTTTCATGTGTGCCTTTAAATTAAAATCCAACGAAAAAGCCTGCAATAATCAAGGCACATGATATTAATAACACATATTGGCAGATAAAAACTAATAATAACAAATGCCAAAAGCTGCATTTATTTCACCAATTAGAAATACGGCATATCACATGCATTCTAGAAAGCTTCTAACGAGCCATGCAAAGATACCATACCACCAACAAAGAGTCTTGTTGGCACCACTCTGCTTGAGATTTTTCCTTACCCCGACAACAACAGAGCATTTTCAAGTATTTTAGGCTGTTTTGCACAAGGACAACACTACGTATGTACTCCACGGTAGTTGCAAAACAACTATTATGAGCACAACCATTGTCTAAACATTAACTTTCTCTTTAGTATGTATATCAAAAACTTTGTGGAGTATGAAAAGGGGACCACAACTGAATCTTAACGCAACAAATGGAACAAAATTAAAAGATCAAACCTTTATAACAAAACATGGATACACCGAAAAAGAAATCAAGCATCAAACATCTCTATGTACAGTACAAATTTCTACTTCATAACTAAGTATTTCTAGTAACATGCTAGAAAAGAGAAAAGTACAAATTGCCTATGATTAGAAGAAACTACAGTCACGAAATTAATAACAAGCACAATGGAGGGCCAGTGTGATTACCTTTCCACAACCTTCATGTGGGCACACAAAATTCTTTTCTCCTGTATGGATAAGAAAATGCCTTTTCAACTTAGAGCTATCTAAGAATTTCTGCAAAATCAGATTTAGCAGAAAAAAAAAATTAGTCAAGCAACTGAAATAGAACCATGCCTTTGCAGACTGAAGATTACTCTCTGGGAGTCTGGGATGTGAGCAGGAATGATAAACAGTACCTTGCCACAGTTCTCATAGTGACAGATATATTGCCTCTCCCCATGAACATGAGCATGCTTCCTAAGAGCCCCTGCATCAAAAAATGTTTTCCCACATCCTTCGTAGCTGCATAGAAAGAGAACCTCAGAGTTCAGTTCAGGCGTTGCAGACTCTGCCCCCTGCTCCTTGTCCTTAGCCTTCAAAGCGGCCAGTCTATCCTCTATAAATAAATACAGTAATAATATTAACAGAAGAATGAAAAGATTAAGCTGAAGGAACAAGAAAGAATTCAACTACTTCATAGTTATTAACAGTAATAAAACAATCGGAATATCCAACAAAGAATTCCGCCTTCTTGTGTGTATTTGTCGGCAAATTGAGTGAGAACTTTATACTCTTCATAAATACTCCATCCGTTCTAAATTTTAAGACGTTTTATCTTTTCTAGATACATAACCTTTGTTATGCATTTAGCTATACATTATGTCTAGATACATAGTAAAAGCAATGTATCTATAAACAATGTTTTCTGATCATCCGATTAATCGCGATTAATCGTCATTATCGGTACTTAGCACTTGATTAGGCCCTCCGATTCGATCAGAAACCTGATCATCCGATTAATCGTCCGATTAGGTCTCTTTGCCGATCAGCACTAAATAGGCAGATGGGCTACTTCAGTTTACTGGGCTATATTTATTTGGGCCAGGCCCATTAGGGTTTCTCTTATATACCTCACCCCCACTCTCTCTCCTCAGTCCTCAGTACTCCTCACTCCCGCTGTGTGTGCAGCTGAGCTCCATCTCTTCCCTGCTGCGTGCATCTCACTCCCTCCTCCCTCCCTTCCAGTTCCAATCCAAGCAGCCCATCCGTGGATCTTCCCTGCTGCTTGCTGCTTCCTCCTCCCTTCTGCTGCAGGGTCGCCTATTCTCTTCCCCACCTGCAGGCTGCAGGTCCAGGGAGCACGAAGATGAGCTCCTCCTCTAAAGGTGAGTCATTAAATCGGCTTTGTTCTGTCATCTCCTTTCCTCCGCACTATGCTCAAATCTTGATGCTTTGTTTCTTTGGCTCTTTGCTGAACTTGCGTAGATGAAAATCGAAGGCGGCAGCTTGCAGTGGAAGTCATCATGCCTAGGCCTAATCCTGAAGGAGGTGCTGGTGAAAGCTCATCAGTTGCATCAGGTGGTGCTGGTTCAGCATCCTCAGCTGCTCCAGATGTTTCAGCCCTTGTAGAAAAGGCTATAGCAGCACTGCTTCCAGAACTTGCTCAGCAGGCTAAAGATCCCAAGAGGAAGGCTCGATCTCAAGACCCAGGATGGAAGTATGGGTGGTGGCCAGATCCTACAAAGAAGGAATTTATTCAGTGCATTTTCTGTAAGAAGGTAGTGCCTGCAGGAATCGGTCGGTTCAAGATGCACCTTGCTGGGGGTTATGGGGATGCAATGAAGTGCCCAAAACCACCTCCAATAGTCCAGCGAGAGATGACTGTTTACTTGAAGAAGAATACAAGGACTACAATTGTGGCACTTCCTGGAGATGGTGAACAAGAACAAGAAGCAAATGAAGAGGATGAAGTTACTGAAGTTGAACCAGCGAAAGTACCAAGTTCTGGGACAAGACTCAAGCGAGCACAATCGAAGCAAAGAAGAAAATAGCTCAAGCTGTCGTTACTTCCTTTGTGGTTGCGGGTCATACTAAAGCAGCAACTCAAAAGAACACCAACACCAAGTCACTTAGTGCCATGCTTCGCAGGACACCAGAAGTAGTTACAGAAAGGCATAAATCCAAGACTTCTCAGCCCACTATAGAGCAGTGCACAAAGAAAGATAAAGAGGCTAAACAAATTGTTGATGATCATGTTGCTGATTTCTTCTATGAAAATGGTATACCATTCAATGTCATTAATTCGAGAAGTTGGGAGATAATGCTTGAGTCCATTGGGCAGTATGGACCTGGGTACCGCTCACCAACCATGCATGACATTAGGGAATCATTGCTTGAAAGGGCTGTCAACAGGACAGCAGAACTAAGAAAGAAGCATGAGGAGAGTTGGAAAGAATATGGCTGCACTCTCATGTCCGATGGTTGGACGGATACAAGCCACCGCCATATAATCAATTTTCTTGCCAACAGTCCAGCAGGGACCTTCTTCCTAGGTTCAGTGGATGCTTCAAGTGAGATAGCAAATGCACAAATGCTAGCTGATTTGTTGGAGCAGCAAGTTGACAAGATTGGGAAGGAATATGTGGTGCAGGTTGTCACAAACAATGGGGCCAACTTGAAGGCAGCCGGAAGGATTCTAATGGAGAGGATCCCACATTTGTTTTGGACACCTTGTGCTGCCCATTGTCTGAATTTGTTGCTGCAAGACATTGGTGAGATAAAGGAATTCAACAATGCCATCAATTGGGGCAAGAAAGTGTGCAGATTTCTATACAAGCATGGGAGGATACTTGATCTAATGAGACAGAAGATAGGTGGAGATCTTGTGAGACCAGCTGTGACTCTATTTGCTACTTCTTACCTAACATTGGCAAGTATGTACAAGCACAAGAATGGCTTGAGAGCTTTAGTTGTTAGTGAAGAATGGCAGGCTAACAGTCTGTCTAACACTAGAGGCAAACAAGTTGAAGATATTGTCCTTTCCATGCCTTTTTGGAATAGAGTCGAGTGTTGCTTGAGAGCTTCACAGGCCCTTCTCGTCGCTCTAAGGATTGCAGATGGGGATGAGACACCAGCAGCTCCTGAGATCATGGCAGCCATGGATCATGCAAAGACCACCATCAAAGATTCTTTAAAAGCTAAAACCGACTTGCTTAAAGAAGTAATGAAGCGCTATGATAATAGGTGGGAAAACCAAATGCAGCAGAAGTTGTATGGGGCAGCCCTATTCTTGAATCCAGGCAAGTTCTTTGCCTTAAGGGAGAAAGACAAGAGAAAAGCTGCAAGGCTAAGGATCATGTTCAATGAAATTTTATACAAAATGGTGGCGGATGACAGTGAACAATCCAAGATTTCTCGTCAAGCTGATGATTATGAACAGTCTGAAGGTGAAGGCTTCTCAATGCCATTAGCAATAAGGGACAGAGACAAAAAGAACCCTAGTAAGTTTTGGATATTTTAAAACCTTCAATCCTTCTCAATATTTGTTTTGTTATGACCTGATTATTAGGTAATTGTGTTTCAGTTCGCTGGTGGAATTCCTATGGTGGCTACTCATTTGAGCTCCAAAGTCTAGCAAAGAAAATTATTAGTCTTTGCTGCTCTACATCAGGTTGTGAGCGTAATTGGAGTGTTTTTTCCCATGTAAGTACCACTGCTAGTTCGAAGTAAAATCAATTATGTATTTGTGATATTGCTTGCAAACCAATGTGTTGTTCATTATTTTTTATGCAGTTCCACACCAAAAAGAGGAACAGATTAGAGCACAAGAGGTTAAATAAATTGGTCTATGTCAGTTACAACAAAAAGATGTCAAACAGGTTTCAAAAAATCAGAGAGCTTGGTTGCAAAGGACAGAAGAGCAACCCTCTCACGCTAGCTGAATTTCAGTGGGATAATGAATGGGTGGATGATAATTGTGAGGAATCGACTTGGGCTGCTGTTGATGAAGCTATTGGTGCATCTGAGAATCTACAGGGCTGCAACTTGCCTAGGGCTGCTGCTGCTCGTGCAGCAGCCTCTGTCAGCCAGATGTATACCAGGAAGCGTCCAAGGACTGCTGCAGCTACAGCTGCTGCTCCAGATAGCATTGATGATGAAGATGATGACCATGAAGCACAAGTTCAGCCAGATGCATCTAATGCTGAAGTAGGAAGGGAGGTGGATGGAGACTAGGGTGGAGATGGAGGAGGCTTCAATTTGGATGATGATTTGCTTATTTAGAATTAGATGGCTGCTGAATGCTGATTGAATGGCAGCTAGTGTTATCTTAAAAACTCTGAATGTTGTTTGCAGTGTTTAATTATTTAGTTTGTAGTATGTACTCAGTACTCGTACTATATTAAGTAAGCTGTGGACTATGCTAGTTTTCTTAATTCCTACTTTTCTGGATCTGGATTGAGTATGTGCTGCTGTAATGCTGTCAGTCTGTCACACTATTCTTTTGCATCTACTTACTCAAGTTATCTATTATTCCTGCAGAAAATCAGCAAACATATGGAGGCTGGGACAAGAATATGGAGTCAGATCTCATAGGTAAGTAACCAACTAACTAGAAATATGCTCGATGTCTACTATATAAATATATAGTATATGGTATATTATATATATACCATACATATATGATATATACTTATATAGTCCTGCTATATGCTGGACGATTATATGGACGATTAGACCGATCAGAGGTCGATTAATCGTCCTGATCGTCCTAATCGGTACCAGACCGATTAGGAACGATAAGCCGATTAGAAAACATTGTCTATAAAAGCCAAAACGTCTTATAATTTAGAATGGGGAGAGTAAGTTGGGTTACATTGTCCAAACCAGTTAGGAGTCAGCAATCCAAAAAAAACACATTGGTATGCTGGCGGCAGCCCCCTAAATAGAATGTACTAAGTTTTCCTCTAGTTTCAACTGAACTTACCACTCTTACTTGGAGACTAACAAGCAATCAAGCATATATATGTATTGCCTCTACTGAAATCTCAATTTTTTTGAGTGGAACTAAACAATCATCCCTTCCGTGCGCTCCAGAAATATTACAATTTAGAAATATGTGATGCAATCAGTACAAGAAACATGAAAAGACTTGGCTTGGTCCACCGGTCTTGTACAGGCCTCTCAAGTAATTGGGAATTCGCATGGATATGGATGAATCGCTGGTGAAAAGCACCAGAGAGGGCAGTTCTCAGTGCAAAACATGACTATGGCATGACAGTACAGTCACAGAATAAAAGGCTGCGTTTTGACAACAGCAGCAGCAGCAGCAAGCAATCAGCGGGCGCAGCGTACCTCGCACCCACTTGTAGAGCGTGCAGGGGCCTCCCGCGACGACCAGATCTTGCGGGACCCTGACGAGACAACAGGTCAGATGGAAATCGAAGAGCGGGGCTAACGAGGGGAGGAGGGGGACTGTCAGAGCCATCGGACGGGCAAGCGGTCAACTCACCACTCCTTCACCCAGCGGTAACGGCGGCGGGCGACCTGCATCTCCGGACGCGGCGGGGGCAGAGAGCCGGCGGGCGGCAGCGGAGGAGAGGGGGAGCGCTAGGGATTGGGGACCGTGGAAGAAAAGGGGAGCGTGGAGGGGTGGGTAGGAAGACTAGGAGGAGCACGAGGCGGAGTCGTCCTTGGTGCGATAGGATTGGGCATGGTGGTGACCGCCCCGCCCCAGGCTCCGCGAGGAGATAGATGTATGGCTATGGATGCCATGCCCGACTCGGCGACTCCCAGCGCCGTCCGACTCCTAGCTCAACACGGTGGGGTGGGGCATCTGATGGCTCGAGGCACCGCGTTTCTTCTGCCTTTTTCGGGGCGTGCGCTGGTGTGCTTCGTCTTCCGTGGTGCGGAACAATGGGGGTTTGCCGTCTACTACGGAAAGAGTAGGAGGCCGATAGGGTTAGAAAAAGCAAATGGGCATAAATAAAAAAAAACATAAATTTTGCCAAAAAAAAAGGAACATCGACATTCTCATCTACAATTTACAAAAAAAATTATCAACTTCAACTTTCTATGAGCGTATATAAAACAACAAATGCCTATACCGTGGGTCCATACAATGCCCTAACGTAGATGAGGCTATGTGGGCCCATTGATAGAAAAATAAAAATTAATCAGACCAAAAGTTCTAGTACCCATTTATTAGGACATCTTGGGAGTCTTCGGCTACTCCAAGAACGTCATCGTCCGTACGTCATCAGACTTGGTACGCGGTGTTCGTCGCACTCCTTTCTTTTCATGTTGCTCAATTCTGTTCCTCTTCTAATGGTTGTTGTTCTTACTAATTGATCATGTGCATGCATTCCCAGCGAGTGCTCTTCAACCTGTGCCCTCGTGGGCAAGCTCATCGAGTTCGGGTTCACATCGTCTGCGGAGTCTCTCATTCTTCTGGGAAGACTCCACAAATATCTTCTACCAGTCCATCACGCACGCCCTTACATGCGTCGGTTATCCAACCAAAGATGCAGCGCAGGATTAAAAAGCTTTTTTTATCCGAAAATCAGGTAAGAAACACCGAAACTAACAAGACAATGCATTACCTTAAATCGATAAGCTAATGTTTTTTTTCTCAATGTAAGCTAAGAAATAGTGTTTCTGTTGAGACATTGGTGAGAGTTATAGTAATCTTAGACTGTGTATATGCTAATCAGATAGAAATTAGGAACAGAAATGGCGCACTGATCTTACTACCTCTACTAAATCTGGAGTTAGTTATTGGGAGTTGGAAAACTAAAAGTGAACCAACATTTTAAATTCCAATGAACTAAGGGTAAGTAGAGGGTATTATATAAGTCAATGGTACATGCATTGATCAATCAGCTAATTAAATTCATAACTCAGTGAACTTAAACATTAGTTTTTACCATCCTAACTAATGTATCTTGCATCTCAGGTTTCACTCTATTAATAAATGAGAATAAAGGCAATCATAGAAGCAATTTAGAATTGTTCACTCTATTTCAAGTACACACCTTCATAGTAGCTTCTCAAATGAAGAGCTCATCAAATAGAAAGTGTTAGGCCTAAACACAATAGGGTCACCTTGCCCAAATAGCACTGCAGCTCAATGACCATCGGCATCTTAAATGGACCTAATTGTTTCTAACATTTGCTAGAGGATACGTATGTACAATTTTAAGATGGCTAGTAATAAACACGAATGGGGACATTTTATGTATTGCTTTCGTCTCCGAGACTTCATATAACTAAATCAAATGAATTTAATTCTCATAGACACCTAAAAACAATCGGAAATTATACTGGATTTTACTAAGCACTAACTGTTCACGGGCATATTCAAATTGCTAAGCCTCATTGACCCCTACCGTTTTACTTCAACTAAACTACTGTCGTAACCCCCATTGCTTCTAAAAGAAGCTTCACTGCAGCATCATTATATATATAAGAGGACTATTCTAAAAAAGCATCATACCTCTTATGGAGCAGGACTGCACGAAACATTAGTGTTTACACACCGGACTATAAGAAATAAAAGTAGAACCACACGATATTAGATTCAGTAGGGCAAACACCGAACATGCAAAAATTAAGAACTAAATACAATTCATCTTGCATCAGGAGATAAGAGAATCTACAACGAAATAATAAAGGATAAAAGAAATCATCCATTTGATCTCCAACCTGATGGTATAGAGAAGTCTGTACTGCACAAGCAAGCAGAGAAGTCACAGAAAAATAGACCAAAATGCAAACTCTAAAGTTAGCCTAATCCCTCTCCTTTGTTCAGTGGCCCAAGAACTAAACCTTACAATGGCATAAGAAATAATCAAGGCCAATGCATACACCATGAGTAACAATGCAGGTTTATTTAGCAAAGGTTAACTGAGGAACAGATCTATTTGTTTCTCTAGGTTATATTATAGAAGCACAACACCAATCGCGGCATAATAGACCATACCATTTGTGTCTAAGCAACCAAAGATGTATCTCAGTATTTGTTCCTGCAAAGCACACCAAAATGAAGGAAAAAATTAAATCCATACGCTCCAGGTTATCATGTTTCCAAGAAGAATTACACAACCGAAGTGGCTGGGTTAAACAAGAACTCGCCATCTATTGTCCTAACTGGCTATCCTTGCTGCCACCATTTCTCCATCTGCTTTCGTGTGCAACAACAAGAACTCACAAGACCGAAAAGAAAAGCGGGGTCACATGCAAATACCTGGAACATGTATGGTCAGTTTTCGATAGACAACAATAAGCACAAAGGAAATTTAAAAACATGTTAGTAATACCAAGACAAATATCTTTCATAAAAAAGGTTCAGATGGCAACAATCTAGATAGAGGGAGGTCCATTTTGTCCTCTGTCGGTAGACGAGGGTTTTGTAGCATAGGAAGCTAACACCTTGTCCATCCTCCAAAAGCACTACCTGGTTTCTCCTTCCTTGGGGTCCACTGTAAGTCATGAACGAACTATGGACATCGTATCAGATATTCAAGGGCAATCTAAAAGTGGACATCGTACTCTATGTTATTCAAAGTAGAGTTAACCTAGAACCACATAATTTTAGGCTAGTTGTATTTCATATTTTTGTTGCAAAGAAAGGCATCAAGGTTGAGTAAATCTAGATTTGCAATTAGCAGTGAAGAATTAAAATCAAGAGCACGCTCTAAGGCTGACGAATGCATTATATGTTCTGCAGCTAAATACTGAAAAAATATATGGCTGCATAACTACAAATATTTGTTTGGTTTGCTAACTGTAAATACACATGCCACATGCGTTAATTTGAAACTACAGTAGACAAAGGGAAGTACATTAATGCATTTTACATAGCGTACTGGGACTATATTTTACATTCCCTCATCCATCTCCAGTAACAAATTTGAATAAATCAATCTTTAAATCTAGGAAACTAAAAACTATAGCTGAAGCACAAATAGAGTAGGGGAAGTGCCCATAGGCATCCATACCTGCTGGCTGGGCTTCTGTGGAGCAGGAGAGAGGAGAGGAGGGGGTGACCCACCTCCGTCGCCATAGAAGCACGAGTGGAGGGGTGAGGCACCGCCGATCAGCCGCCAAGTTGAGCAATTGGCGCCACTGCCGGAGAGGAAGACGTGATGCGTAGCCGAGGTCGTCAAGCACAGGCACCTAGGGTTTCATGGAGTAGAGGAGCAGACACAGAGTTGTGGAAGGAGGCCGTGTCGGGG